TGCGTATATATATATATATATATATATATATATATATATATATATATATGTGTGCGTGTTTTCGTTCTCTAAAGATCTTTAAATGCGGGACAAATTTACCCTGAATTTCAAGTGACTTTTTTAAATTAAAGTTTTTTTTTTTTTTTTCATTCCGTTTGTTACAGACTTAGTTGATCGTCTGATAGAGAAAAAGAAAGAGGCAATGATATAGAGAAGGACGTACATAGACGAAAAAAAGCTTTCGACGCAGAGAAATTGGAGGGGCTAAACTTGGATAAACTGTGGGGTAAAATTATGTCTCATGAGCCAACGTTCTGTTGATTGACAAATTCGCCCCTGAACTGCAACTGACCATTGGAAATTACAATCTTTCATTAATATTTATAATTGCCTTTAATAAAAATAAATGAATATAGATGCTTTCTAATATAAAAAAAAACTCTTGTTAAACCCAGGCTACGTTCAGCGTCTGAGAGAGAAACAGAAATATAGATGCATATAAATAGTAAAACAGAAAGTTCGAGAGAGCGTTGTCGAGAGATTGTAAGAGTCTGATACAGAGATATTTTAAGTGGATTCATCTTAGATAAAGGCCGTTGTTTTTAGTGAGCGGTTAAATTGATGTTTCCTTACCTAACTTTCAGTTAAAATCAGTCTTTCTTAAATATACTGAACTGCCCTTGTTGAGGACAGTTCAGTATATTTAAGAAAGACTGATTTTTTTTCTTATAAATATCTAGAATTGTTCATGGGTTGAAAACTCTAGGGCGCATTATCAAAAGATTAGCAAATCCGTGTAATTTTGCATGTGATTAGCAAGTAAAAATGAATCAATAGCACCAATAACAAAACCATTAATACCTCCCACTACAAGGAAATATAAACAGAGCAAATTTTGAAATGTGAAGTTTAATCAAAAATGCGAAATTAAAAATGCTACCTCCAGGCAGAGACTCGGTTCACGAAGGCTCACAAAAAATTAAAAATAAACTTTCAATTTTATGCATAAATTAAGCTGAGGCTACAGTATAAAATGCAAATTTTAACAATACATCGCTGAGTAGAAAGTAAAAATCTTTTCTTTCTTTTTTTTCGCATAGAGAATTGTTCTTTTCTTTCCCTTTTTAAAAGTTTTAAGATATTGTCATCAAATGATACCATTTTTTTTACAGAGGGTTCATTTAAGATTTTTGCCATAAAAATATTTCAACATTTTCAGCTTTTTATATTTATCAAAAATATTCAAAAACAAACCACAGTTTTATCCTCAACCAGCAGCATGGCCCGGCGTTGCCCGTGCTTGATTCAAAAATCGTACGACTCATACAGCAATCGCTATCACTTATTTTTGCCCTTCCTTGCCTTTAAAGGAAGTGCCCTTTGCCGTGCTGATGTTGCTACATGCCTTACTTCTTGCCTATCTCACACTGCAAATTTTTTCTAAGCTCTATACTAAACATTAAATCTGTTACGAAAAAAGAACTAAACAAAATGAACACAAAACGACCAGCTTTAAAAAAGGACACGTAACTGGAAAAAGGGAATGAAAAAAAGAATGTTAACAACGAATACTTTTTCACACCCAACCCAGTTCTGTGGAATCAGAATCAACGTTGTGTTTATGCAAGCGAATGAGCCAATTGGAGTAAAGTGCCATGCAGATTTAAATTTTTCCCACTTGTGATGAATGCAGCTATCGATTTATTTTGCATGCTAGCATGCTAGTTAATATTCATGGCAGTCAGCTGTTGGCTCTCACGCTGACCAACAGAATCTTCCTGCCTATTCGTGGCAGCCAGCTATAGGCTCTCGCTCTGGCCAGTAGAAAATGGCCGCAAACTACATGAAAAGTGCCGTAGAAGCATGAAAAAACGATTATTTCCACTATCGATGGGAGTTGGGAAATGTAACGTCGGTTTTGGCCTTCCTGCTAACTTGGAGCATGTGCATGTAAATTTTGGTGCAAATCTGTCGAAAATTGCGGCCGTGAATTCGTTACACACACACACACACACACACACACACACACACACATCCTGCCTTTTATAGATAGAGATTTATATTCATCTTATTTTTCTTGATTTAGTTCCGATGAAATACACGACCCATGATATCTTTGATGTGCCTTCATGTAAATTCTCAAGGCAAAGGGATTAATTTAGTGATGTCTATCTCCTTTACAGTCAATATGGGACAAGTTGTACTCGGTTACATTGTACTAGCAGCAAGAATCAATCTCCGACCTTACTGAAATGGTGACTTTTTTTTTCTAATTGTAGCTTAGAGGTGGCACAAGGCCGAAAGCATGGGGCACCCCGTGACCTATAGCGTAACAGATAACTATGCGGCAAATGATATCGGATAAACGTGTTTTAACCGAATCCGTTTCATTCATTTAATAATTAATATAAATATAACTTAATGAAAAAATATTCTTTCGTGATTCTTCTTCTCCATGTGCCTTTTCCCCATCAGAACGTAGGTGATTATGGCTCTCCAC